GTTTTAATAGAGATATAGCAGTAGACTTGTATGCTTCTATTTCCAAAGGCACCTTCAGTTAAAAAAAATATACATATATAAAAAGAATCTATTGTTATGAACAAAGTGGCTGCAGTGTTTGCTCAGAACCCAACACGGCCCAGTAATAATGGGTCAGGAAAGCAGACTGTAAACACACCAATGGTAGCAGCATATCATATGAGGGCTCCCATAATTCTTCATCTTCTCTTTTCAGATAAAAGCTAATTGCCATAAAAACAATCCACTCAAAAAATAAAACCAACCAGAAAAACCAAAACCTAACCTTAAACAAACCCTGTCTTCTAGTCTCAAACTTGCCTTTATAGCTCAGTCAGAAAGCCATGAAGGCATAAGAGGAGACATGGAGAGTTTCTAATCACATACGCATAACCCTAAAGCCAAGCAAGAGACGCATGCATGGATCCAGCTGGCTCTTCTTACTAATTCCCCCTAATAAAAGTAATTTGCAATAAAACAAGATATTCCAGCCAACCACCAGCTCTTCAACCAAGATTATCAGTTAATCCCAGGTCAAAGGGTAAAATGTCAGAAGGGATACAAGGTTGTTCCTTAGGAAGGAGTTTAACATAAAACAACTACAAGAAGTTCAGGCATGGCAGATTCAAACCGAAGCTGGACATACAAATAAGGATGATACTGCCTTGTTTCAGTTCTGAAATGGATGCCCTCTTTGATGAAGATGCTCAATTTTTTCCAGCAGTGACCAGAACAATCCAGACTGCCATTCAGGAGTGGAGAAGCACCATGCCCTGGTTGTCAGGCATGATCTGAGACTACCAGGATATTTATACATCAACAGCTACACAGTTTTTAGTACTCAGCCTAAGTAGTTATCCCTCATTTCTATGCACTCCCAGGAAAGCAGCCAATTTAGGTTGGACCAGGGTAGAGCTGGGAATCTGTCACTAGGGATATAAAGCTAGCACAGTGTTCCCAACTTCATCACGCTGCAGAATAGAAATTGAGAAAGAATTGGAAAGGAAGCCTGTTTCAGACAGTGAACAAATTGAAGGCTTCAAAAGTAACCAGATGGGAATGCATGGAGGAGTTTTATATATAAACCAGCTTGCAAGGTTGAAAGCACTTTTTTGTGAATAAGTACTTGCCTAAAAATAGTTGGTCTTTGGCTGCTAACAAAAAACTCTAAGAAAAAGGAGCAGAGAATCTCTTCTTAGATCTTCATGAGAAGACTTAAACCTATAAAGCTGGGCGTCACGGTTTCAGTGGAGTTTGTCTTATTTTTGACCTGCACTTTTTCCAGAAAAGTGCACTGCTAGAGAATTGCTGGCGAACTAGACACACACCTCTGAATGAAGAAAATTGTAAGCATAAGTAAGATGTTAATGCTGACCAGCAGTTAACGCTTTTGGCACTGCTGTATCTGTTGCATGTGGTTTCTAGACCTCTTTACTCACAATTTTGCTTTTTGTTTACACCACCACTAAATAAATCCTACTACTCACAATTGGTACTAAATAACTTCCTGAAAAATCTATCCAAGATCTTATCAGCTGCTTGTTAATAATATTACTTGTTTTAAACAGGCTTACTTACCAGCACTTACGTTTAGGATCACTTGTACAGCAGGGCCATGCCTTAAGTTTACAAAGCTCGGACATCCTACAGTCTGCGCAGGATGCTAATTTTATCCTATAGAAAATTCCAGTCAAAGTTTCATCAACCTGGAAGAGATTTTGGGGTTCTTTGCCTGCATCAAGTTCCATGTGCTAGCACAAATACCACGGCATAGATATTTTGATCACATTAATAAAAAAAACCTCTGCCTTGTGTGTAACAGACATAAGCGTAGGGGGAGGACGACAGCATGGGAACTGGTTCAGGAAAAGCTCCATGTTCCATCTTCTGTGCAGGAAAGGATGATCAATTGTATTTAATTCAAAATTCAGAGTTCAATTTCACAGCCTGTTTTATCCCAGAGGTGAGGAGGACTCCATTACCAGATCCAAGCAGCACACACAAAAACCTTCCTAATTTCTATACAAGATAGACTTAAGCAGGGAAAATTATGTGGTAGGTAGGCACTGTCACTTGGAATCAGTGGTGAAGGAGAGATGGAGAAGTAAGAGAAAATGGAAGCCTAAAACAAACCACTAGCAAGGAAGAAGGCAAAAAAATAAAATCAAAGAACACAGGATCAAGACCAAAGAGAAGGGAGTGGTAAGACAAAGCCAACATATAGAAGACAAAGAGCATCTACTCCAAACTTTTTACTATTTCATACCCAAAAAGTACACCAAAAACAAACCAGAGAGCACAGAAACACTGCAGAAGAAGAAATACTTTTTATAGCAGGATTGAAACAACGTACAAAGCTATATAGAACCACATGCTGAATGGAAAACTTTCTCCAGATTATGTAGAATAAAAGGCAGCTACTTTCAGACAAGAAGCACCAGTCCCTGATAGCGAGACATGATGAAGTTGCTCTGAACTAAGACAGCTCACAAGTCTCTGCACTTGTAAAACAGCCAATTGACAACCTGACATAACACAGATAATTAAAAATCGACTCTTTTGGAGAGCTCTTCGTTGTGCTAGTGCCAGCTACTCTCGGCACTAAATGAGGGAGCCTGTGGGGAAAGAAAAAAAAGTCCAATAGCATATTGGATACAGCACATACATAACAAGAATATCAAAACTGCACAGGCAACCTTATTACAGACCTATTTCGAACACTGATAATATCAGGATGACTAAAAGCAAAACCCCAGAGCACAGCTATTTCTCTGCATGAATTATGTGTAAAAACTCTGCAGGTTTTTCTACAGTGAAGAGAGCCATGTGTTTTGAACAGAATTTCAAAGAGACATCAGTTTATTTGCTAGTTCCATTAGCCACTATTCATCACCAATTGGAAAAGCACTGCTGGGAAAGAACACAGAAATGCTGTCAAAATAGCCTGATGTGTCCATGCATTTATTCACTATGCAATCCGACAGAATTCAGCAACACTTGGCTTGGAACAGCATACCAAAGCAGCACATTTTTCCAGGGGAAGAAACCAATTGATATTTATACACCATGCTTCTTACTGTGGATTCTGTCATATAGACTCCAAAAATTCATTTACCATTTTCTGGAGACATGAACCTTACTGCTGCGTAACCTGGCTCTGGTGAGTGGCACGACATTTTTGGCCTCCCACTCCACTGCTTGAAAACAAAGTCAGATCAGCATTTATCAGTTTAATTAGTAACACGTTTGACATTTTCTACTTGAATTTCTTTAAATGAGCAGCTTCTGGCAGAAAAGGAGCACAAAAAAAAACCCCAAACCAAACCTGTTTACCTTTCTCATAGGCTAAGAAACTTAAACAGAAATGAACCCAGGTCTGCAAATGTACTTTGACACTCAACTTCCTTAACCCATTACACTTAAGTAAAAATTTATGATTACTGAAGCTTTCTTTTTCAATTGAGTTGCAAAGCTCTAACCAATCCCCTCATTTCAGATAACTTTTTTTTTACCTTCCTAAGCAATAACTGGATTTTACACAAAAAGGCAACAAAACTGCATGCACTGTGCACAAAGTGGCAAGTCATCCCTGCAACTGACCTCACTTAACAGAAAACATAAGACACAGAAAATAGAGGAAATATGTATTTTTTTATTCCCCTGGTCTTCACAGAGACCAGAAAAATGTCTGTACATTTTACCTGTGGTTGAGTTATAAAAACTGTATTTCAGTAACAGGTTAAAAAAGATACAATTCTTCTGATGTTTGATTGCAACAGAATGTACAAGGCAGTACTTAGACACAAGTTGAACAGAGTCAGGAAGACACGTCTATTACACAGTTGAAAAACATCAAGAATCTCAGGTATTTTAAAGTCTAGCCACTGCCAACTAGATACAAATAAAGGCAGCAATACTACAGAACAGATCACCCAAAACTCTAATAGTTCTACCAAATTAGATACTAATGTAATAGCTCCGTCAACTATGAAAAGATATGTTATTCATCACACGTAAACTAAGAACAGTGTTCTGCCACTAAAAGACATGCATCAAATTCTACTACTAGTCTTTTATATGAAGAAGATTTAAAAAAACAAACAAACAAAATTACTTAAATGGTTATACTATGAATGATATATGAAAACTTGCTGGTAGAAAATGACTATGCTGCAATAGCTAGCATGCACTAGATAGGACTGTCAAAAAAAGTGCAGACCTTTTTAAAGAATGAGAAGGTTGTGGGATTAGGAAAGTATTATTTAGTATTTAAGAAAGATTTGTACATTCATGTATTTCCTTTTAATATGCCATCTCTAATTGATGCTACTTGCTGAGAAGTCATTCAAATGCTTGCTCAAATTCATATATTCTCATAAATAAGAAACGCCTCCACATAGTTACTACATGAAGCACTTGCACCAAGATGCTGATAAATACAGCTTCAATGTAAAGTGTTCTAACTGATATAATCCATTTTATTTTTATATTTATACCACAGACATCAGGAAGCCACACTGCACAGATAATAATGGTATTCAGACAAGTCAAAATTAACAAGATTAAATTATAAAAGTGCTTAACCTATGAAGCACACTGCTTGCCAGACAGTCAAGAGAAGAACAGGCAGACAAAATAGAACGCAAAATAGGAGTCACTGTCAGCTATTTCCCTATATACGCTTAGGAAGGTTAGTCACCAGCAGAAGTTGCATTCAGCTCACAATACAGCAGACAGTAATTCTACCAAGACCATCAGAAGACTTATTTGCTATACAGTTACTCAGTTGTCTCGGATCAAAGATGTAACAATTACTCTTTTTTCTACTCAATTGATAATTAGAATACTTTAATTTTAGTTGTGGCATTTTTATTTCTTTTTTGTTTTTTTTAATAGGTAGATAGTAGGCTAGCTTCAGGTTTAAAAATCTTTACATATATTCATACATATGTATAAAATGCTAAAGTCTTAATAACAGAGTCCTATAAGCTGAGGTTCACTGCTTCTGCGCTTAACTTGCCGCCACTTAGACTGTGAATCATGGCAATCATATTGGAGTGTTTATTCAGTTCTTCCTTCTGCAGTTTTACAAGCGCTTCTTTTTCTTCCAAGCGTCCTTCCAACTGGGATTTTTGAACTTCTAGAGAAGATGCCTGCAGAAACAAACAAAAACCTTGTAATTCCTTCCATTACCAACCGAAAAACATATGCAATGCAGTGAAAGCTGAGTGGCCTGCTGGTGAATTTGAGCAAGTAATTGAAAAGCAGTTTTTGTTTCAGAAAGATTTCTCAGCTGTACACTTGGTGCACATGAACAATTACAGCGACGGCAGCAGTTCAGAATGTTAAGACACCACGGGAAAGCACCAACCCCCATGTTATCGTTGTCCTATTTAAGCAGCAGAAGTGTTCACAGTTAAGCCAGTCACATTTCATTTCAAGCCCCACACCAGTAAATATTGACTGAGAACAAGGGAAATATTTGCTATATGCTGGATAATATTGCCTAGAGAGATTAGGCTTTGCTTCCAGGGAACAGAAATACAGCAAATGCACTTGCCAGACTGCACATTTGCATTTGCTGATCAGTTTGCGTGTAAAATTAATTTCTGCCCAGAGAGTTTATGGGAAGCCTTACCTACAGGCAAAGGTATCCAGGCTGCACTGAAGTTTTAGGGATTTAGTTTTGTTTAGTTCTGGTTTTGATTTTTTAATTTTTTTTTAAAACACTACCCTGTTAACTTGGTTTAGTCAAACTGGTTTCTGTTTTGACATTTTTTTTTAGAGATAAGAAAAGGTATTTTATTAGAATTTCAAAGAAAATCAAATGCATTTTAGTACGTACATATGTAGCATATGAACCTCAATTCAGGATGTGAGAAAGGGGACAAAGTCACTCAATCCACATTTTTCAGTATTCAAAACTACTGAAGAGGAACATGCTACATTCTCTTATTTCATATTGTACTACAGGTTTGGGTTGTTTGGTTTTTTTCTTCCAAACATTATGTACTTGCATAGCATGCCTCATATAGCCTCATTAGAACCTGACTTGGACTTTTCGCTTAAATTCAAGCTCAGCTACTCACAATTCACAAGGTTATACAATTAAAGTTGAAAGAATTGTTTCTTCTCTGCTACACAGACTGCTCTACTTACTTTAGCTACTTTACCATCAAAATACTGCTTTACCTACTCTATTAGTTAAATAGATATCTAAAATTCTGATCTCTAGAATACAAGTGCAAATAATTTCTTACCTTGATACTCAGTTCCTTCCTTGCTTGCTCCGTTTTACTTAATTCCTTTCTAAGAACATCTACAGTTTGTTCCATATTTGTTTTTTCTTCCTGCTGAGCTTTCAGTTTTTCTTCAAGAACTTTTATTTTCTGTTGCAAGGCTTAAGAAAACAAAGACATTGAAAGATAGGTTGCCCAACTTAGAAAAAAAGATACTGCATTGCCTGGGAACCAAGTATTTTAGTGTTGGTTTTTTTTTTCCATGCAACACGGCTGTTAATAATTGAATTACTGAGTAGTGCCACCTACTGCTAAATTACAGTAGTTGCTTCCAGTCGTTTGCAGAAGATTTAAATTAAGCTCTTGCAATTTGTTCCTACAGAAAATAGTTCTAATGGACATGGTGTAAAAAGATCCTGAAGGGATCTATGCAGCGCAAAGATTCAGTGAGATCCATAAAGCTTATGTATCCTTCCTAAAAAATAAAAATCTATAATTGTTTTATTCAACTGTTAAATTACATACCCCTGGCTAACTAAGATTTACAAGTTACTAAGTAAGATATAGCTGCTTATCTAGAGCCCATAATAACAACGTCTAGCTAATCTAGTTAGTTCTTCAGGTTCAGTGACATTTATGTAAGTGACTTACTTGCTATTTTGCCATCTCTCTCCTGTAGCTCTTGCTGTAATTCTTTTCTGTGATTTTCAGTTTCTACCAACTGTGCAGCAGTCCTGAAATTGCAGAGAAATAAATTTTAATGATCAAAGTGAGAGATGCCATCGTTTCTCTGTCTTAAGAAGCTAGAGTGATTTTTCCATTACTTCCAGTTGCTGTCAGGAGCTTCAAATCATGAAACCTATGAATTTGCAAGGTGTGAGCTCTTTCCTTATTCCCCCCGCCCCCGGCGGCCATGAAATAGTCATTTCCCTTCTCTGATCATGGAGATGCAAGGTAGAAACTACTGAAAAGGTTCATACCTGGAGCTAAACACCAGAAACTTGCTTTTGATTACAGCCACAAAGCACTCAAAATAGCCTGACAGAATTGAAAATTGTCATTCAACTAGAGTCAAAATTCACTGCTGGTAGTGACTAAGGGCACTGGGGTTTTAGCTCTTGGCATGCTCCTGAACCGACAATACCGTAAGCAAAATCTGTTTCAGGTATTATCCACACAAGCACATCCATGCATAAAGATTTTCCAATACCACTCTGAACATCTTCTAAATCGTGACACAACACTCAGCAAAACCAGCTATTTTGTATGATACCACCACAGCCCATATATAGGTCTGCTTCAGGCTTCCCTAGTTGAGATAATATTTATCTTCCACAATCATTTAATATACAGGTACTGTCCCCTATCAACATTACAGCTGCAACGTGAGCACTTGATGCTCTGTGATGTTAATCTATTTTTTTCATTACCATCTAGCCTCATTTCTAAGGCATATTCTATCTGCCACTTGCCTTGCCTAGATGGCATCTGCTGTCACTTGTTCACCCCCTTCCTATCTACCAGTTTCTAAGCTGCAGCCTCCAGCAAGACGGGGGGAATGTGTGTGTGGATTTCCACAGTCTCAATTTTATTCGTGGCAGTTCAAGAATATCTGCATAACTACTCTCCCAGTCTGCCTTTAAAAAGGGGCAGCTCTCACCAGAATGTCTTCCCAGTAACAATCAAGCTGCGTATTGCACCAGTGAAAGCAAGCATCCAGATCTATTCAATAGCAAACTAATGTATTGGTACGAATTTTTTCCATTTGAATCCAGACTCAAGGCACTGAGTTGGACTGCTCTGATTACTGACAAGGCAAGAGCCTGGAAGGATGAAGTGAACTTTGCAAGTACAACCAAGAATAGCATTTTATTTCTAAACTGAACGCAATGCCTGCCCATGAGCATATTTTAAAGATATCTACTGCAAAATTAAGTATTAGCTAAAATTTCTCAAAGAGGAATCCTATTCCCTTAGTTACACTGGTGAAAGGTACATCACACCTCTATTTTAAAGTGATCAAAAAGGAAAAAAATAAAGTAATTAGTCCTCAGGAAGACATAAGTAATACTCGTTTTATGGCTGAGGAATGATGTTTTATACCACAGACAGAATACTTCTAATATAATTTTGAAATATATTAGTTTAGTAGGGTTTTTTTTCTGATCTGATAACATTACAGAGAAACCTTGCAGGCTAAAAGGGAATACGGGAAAATCTTTGGGTGATAACAGCATTTAAGAATTCAACAACCAAGAACACATCTCCCCACTCCTGCAAAAGCACCAAATAATTGTCTTCATCGCTCTTTTGAATCCCTACTGTTGCTGAAGTCTGTGGGTATTCCTCCCCACCCCTAATCAGTACAGGAGCCAAGAAAACAAGCCACCAGAGCCCCTACTATGGATTTTCATTTAACATACATGTATAAAGCAGCCCTGAAGCATCTTTTTCTTCCTTTAACTCCACTTCTCAGATGTTACTTAAAGCACAGTTGAAAAATTGAGACTGAAGTGCTATTTAGTTTTACTGTTTAATTTGCTTTAAAAAGAACGATTGAACTTACTTGTCATTCTGCTGCTTGAGCGACTCACTTAGATTCTTCATTGCTTCCATTTGCTTACTCAGTGAATTGCATGTAATCTGTAGATTTTTATATTGTCTTTCATTTGTTTCATACCTAGAAATGAATTAGGGGGGTTACAGTTGAAATGTCTAAGTGGTTTTGAAGAGCTTTTACTTTAATAGTTTGTCAAATAAAAGTACTTGACAACTGCACGATCATTCCACTCGAACTAAAAGCAAGGTGGTTTTTGTGGGTTTCTTTCTGGCGGAGCAGGTTGGTTGAAGATACTTAAGTAGTTTGCTGTTTGTTTGGGTGTTGGATTTTTTTGTTTCGTTTTTGAAATGAATATACCTGGAGGAAGGGAAAATGAACCAAACTAAGCTTCAGTGGTTACCTTACATATCCCTAATTATTAACGATCAGGAAACAACGTTCCTCCAGTAGAAAATTCTCCGGAACTGACGAAACAGAGCTGCCTTTAGAAATCTGACATACACAAACTGTTATAAAGTTACTTGCAGTAAAGGAAAATTCTCTCCTCTGATGTCAGCTATCTGATTGTTGTTAAGGAACAGCATATTTAAAGTTTGCAGATTGTTTAGAAAGCAAGAGTTTTTGCTTTATAAACACGTCATAAGGATCAGGAAGCTATTTTATTTCTACTTTGGAGCATTTACAACTATTAAAGACTAGACTGAGGCTGTTTTATTTCACATAAATTAGTCAAATATAATTTCACAGAGTGTGTGACTGCATTCAATTCAAGCAAAAAAGGAGGCACTTCCAGTGACCATACTAGATAATCAAGAAACCCCGTAACGGACAAAAGTTTTGTGCATTTTTCCAGCCTCAGCGGCTCCCTTATTGGCAGCAATATGCCTTCAAAATTGTCTAATATAATGTCTGCAAGAAACTTACTCTCGCTTTTATCAGCTTCTTTGCCTTGCTGACACCTAGTGACAAGAGCAGCTCATGTGAGTTGAGAAGCCAAAGCTCTTTTAAGCCTTCCATCTTCCAAAGCACATTCTATTTTCATAAATAGTTCCTGTAGTTACGTACTGTGTCTCGCATGTCCTTTTTTAACTTATGATCCTACAGAAATAACGCTTATATATAATTTGTGACACACAAAGCGTCCCTTTGCTCCCTACCTCACTTGTAACATAATTTCAGTGAAATTTGCTACAGAGGTGAGCAAGGATGCAAGCTCCTACCTTATACAGACACAGTGCTATTGGCTGCTTCTCCAGACTATTTATATCATGTCATTAAGACAGCACATAAGATAAAAGAAGCCGAGAGTATGGTACAACACTAATAGAAACTAAGTAGTGTAAATTCCGTTCCTTAGAAAACAACGCTCCCCTTTATACAAAGTTCATAGTGTTTCCTGCACTGGACCTTCAACATATTAACTTCTTGAATGGCTTAAGTTAATCTCATTGACAAGCATATAGAAAAAGGAAAAAAAATGATGAATTTTTCACTGAAAAATCATGAAGTAGCATGTAATGTTGCCCTTCTGATGTGCTTAGCTCAGTAAAGAGCTTTGTAACTCTCTGAATATGAAGAGAATTTGCTTAGAGGTCTTCGGTGCCTTACCTCTGAAGAAGATCGACAGAGGATTTTTTCAGTATTTCATGTTCTTCAGCAACTGTTTGCAATTTCCTGTTGTGTTGAAAGAGCTGTTCAATATCAGTCTGTGCTCTTTCAGATTCTACCTGCTGAGCTTTGAGTAAATCATTAAGTTCTTCATTTTTTCGTTCTGCGTCCTTCAACATTGCAGCAAGAGTTCTTGCCTTTGAGTGGAAAGACAGCCCCCATCAAAAAAACCCAACAAACCACAATTACAAGCAATTCTGTTTCGCAAGTCACTTTGTAATAAAGGCATATTTGAGGCCATAGATCTAACACTAAAATATCGTCAGCTACACTAAGAAAAGGATTTCCCTCACCTAATGTTAACTACAAATTAATTTGTTCACTACATTCTTTTAGCTCCCTTTACAGACGGTGTGAAGGGAGAGGGAAGAAAGTAAAAGATGATACATTATAGCTATGGATTTAGTAATCTGCAGCCCAGTCTTTACTATAACCTTTAAAGAATAGAAATGATTCTGCGTTTTCAGTGCATACCTCAAATACAACCCCTAGAAGCAAGTTTTATTTGGACACTCGTCTTTGGCAAGTGATAAAAAGGCACAAAAGAGGAATCAGTTCTTCATGCACCAGAAAATGCTATACAGAGTTCTCGTAAGTGGCTTTATTCAAGATTATTACCATTAAAATTACCACTAATGGTTAACAAAGGATAGAGTAGGTACAGTAGGTTAGTTTTGTTGACTTCCTCTAAGGCACAGGACAATAAAGATCGCTGTTCCGCGGAACAATCCAGAGGAAAAAGGGGATGTTTATGATAAAATTAAGACTGATCTAACTTGCAAGAATAGTTTAACAGGTAAGCAGTATACAGTTGCCACGCAAACGATCACAGTTAAAGCAACCCAGACAATTATTACTCAGCCCCCTGCTCAGAGTCTCAGAAGAAAGCTCTTGCTACTTACCTCAGATTCAGCCTGGGCTCTCTGACATCGGTACTGAGCCATCAGCCTGTCAGCCTGAGCCAGAGCTACTGCCTTCGCTTCCAAAAGGTCTTGCAGCCTCGTTTCTTTAGACTGCACACAGGAAGAACATTCTTCATAAACATTTTCCAAATGTACAGATGGGAAGGTTCCCATACACATTAGGTTGTACTCACTGCTAATGCCGACAGCTTCTGCTCGTAGACATCCATTATGTCAGAGATCCTCCTATCAGCAAACGGCTCCTTCATCTGTAGAAATGTTTTCCAGTTACTGCTACTGTAATTTGTACTTATTTAGATAGGTAACATGTGCCTAAAGAGCTCAGAAGTTTTCTGAACTCCACCCGTCCACGAGCTTTTTGAGTTCTTATATCTGAGATTGTCTGCTCAAATGCATCCACCTGATTCTTTTGGAAAGTTTGCAAATGGCTAAACAGGATTCATCTGCAGAAGACTATCAGTTCAGCACTACAAAAAAGTAACATCACCACTCTTAAATGGTTCCCCTTGGTCTAATCTTTGCTGGAGAATTAGCAGTCCTCTCATAGGACATCTAAAGTAACTTGCCCTAATATTAACAGCATGAAATGCCCACATTAAAAATCCTTGTTTATATCCCATGGCCTTCTCAACACACAGATTATCAGAAGAGGCCCAGGAAAGTTGTTCTGAAAGGATATTATCCAGAACAGAACTTAACACGCTGGCTTACCACAGGAAACTTACCAAATATGGCACAACAAGTCCTAAATTTATTAAAATATATGCCCGAGTCAAGTGAGGATGCTACTTGGTGCTTTCAGGATATTTTTTTTCTTAGGCAATGCCGCTACACCACCAGTTTTGAGCAGGTGGTGATACATGCTGATGCATGACAAGTGCAAGTTATCCCAGCTGTCACATGGAGTCCTGAAAAGGATGATCAATGGGAGCATCCAGCGGCAGAGTAATAAGTAAGCCAATGACAACTGACTTGACCTTTTCCACTATTATTCTAGCAGTTGACTGGAACTGGTAGTTTGATAAATTTCCTTCTTATCAGTTAAAGCAAAGAGAAGATGGTTGCAAAACTAAGGCTGGAGGCACTGTCACTAATGTAGGTATCAAGTTGTTATCAGGCACTTTCTGTTCATTTTCCCAATTTGCATACTGTTCTTCTAAGCCAAAAGAAAGTAGAAGCAACAATCCATCACTCAGTCTACAGCAGCTATAAGGCAACTAATTTGCTTTGAAAAGAAAAGAGAAAGAAAAATATATTGAGTATTTGACAGCATGGCCCACACAGCAGCACACTGTATGTGGTGCCTGTCTGAGTGTCTCGTTCACAATGCATGTTGCTGTGGAGAGAAGAAAAAAACCTTTCTTCTGAAGTAATAATAGTGCCTTTCCAAGAAGGCCACAAAATTTGAGCTGCAAATGCTAACATCACTTACAGGAAAGAAAAAGTGTGGGGAAAGTCCACTGGAGAAAGCAATCTCAATAAGGAGCCCAGCTTCTGAAGGAGCACAGAGAATCATCGTTGAATTCTGCTCAGGAGCTCAGTAAATGGAGTACATTCTAAACAGTAGAACTCTAAACTGAATTCAACTGACACATGTGCTCTTGCCTGAGATTTGGATTTTAATTTCCGGGCTGCACCCTCCCCACCTCGTAAAAAAAGCGCCAAATATTTAACAACAGTACATAAATTCTACTAGCCTCCAGTCCGGAATTAAGTTTTTGTATTAATTCCTGAATACTTGAATTTGTGGATTCATCACTTGAAGGACAGGATGAAGAACACTTCACTGAAGTAACGTTGGTCACTGGTGACTGCATTTGGATTCTTTTTGAAGTGTGCGCCTTTTCTTGTTGCCTGTAAGCATTATTTGCCGCAATGCTTTCACCAAGCCTGTATAAATGCAAAGGTTATTAAGGAAAATCTGCTACAGATATCGCAAGGATTGAAGATGAAAATGTTTCCATAACATAATTAACTTCTCTTTTGTTAAAAACAGATTACAGTCACATTTGCATTATCACACAACATTAAGACATGTACCCAAACTGTCCAGAGATACAGAAAACAGACAGAAATGAAAGCTTGTCATGGCTAACCTTTAGAAAACCAAAGGCCTTTCAGAAAGGGCATGGTGTTCAGCTCTTCTTGAGCAGAACAAATAATCTGTCAGTCACTAGCCTGAGAAACACATTATTTCACATGTCATTATTCAACTTAACTAGGACACTGTCTGCAAGTAGGAAGACTGAGAAGGTATTTAGTAAGAATTTTTATGAGGTAGAAAAATAAGATTAAATCATGAAAAGGCAGAGTACCACCAATAAACCTTAGCTTTTCATGTCCAAGATGCTATTTTTCAATATTCTACATTACAGCATGCATTATTTTGTAAGTTTTACTCAGAACTTAAGTATGCAGATAAAAGTATGGTTAAAAAAACATACAGGGAAGAGAACACAAAAGCTTAGACAGAAGTAATTAGGGTTCCTATATTCCAGTTTCTGTATGTAACTCGTGGTTGGTATTTTGGAATGTGTCATTAGTAGCTGCCTTGAAATCAGAGAAAAGAAGTCAAGAGCCAATTTTTGAAGCACCAGTCAAAATTCTTTTCCTCTCATAAATTCCCTAATTACTAAGTCATCCCAACCACTTCACTGAAGTGCTGTCTCAACTGCTTCCTAAGTGACAAAGCCTATTTTTAGCTTGCATTTATAGACATGTTATTTGGCTACTCCATTGTACAACTCTAGGCACGCTGGATTGTACAGATTCTTCATTCTTTCATCCAGACTATTTGCTACTGGCCATTGTAAAAATGTTTTATATATTCACAAAATCATGTGATCAGAGAATAGTTGATGTTGAAAAGGGACCTCTACAGATCATCTACTTCAAAGGATGTAGACTCCACAACTTCCCTGGACAACCTTTTCCACGTTTGATTACCCTTACAGTGAAAGGTATTTTTTTATATTTCAGTTTGTGCCTACCTCTTGTCCTGACAATGGATACCATCATCTTTGTTCCTTTCCATCAGAGACCAGATCCCCCACCAAGATTTCTCAGAATCGAACAATCCCAGCTCTCAGTCTCACCTTGTACAACACATGCTTGTCCCTCAAGCATCTTAATGGCCTTTCACTAGACTCACTTGAGTATGTTTGTACCTCTCTTGTATTGGGGAACCCAGACCTGGACACACCACTCTAGATGTGGTCTCACCAGGGCTGAGCAAAGAGGAATGATCATCCCCTTATACCTGCCAGCAATTGTCTTCCTAATGCAGTCCAGGGTGCTATTGATCATCTTTACCACTCTTGGATACAGAAGTTACATTTGCTTTCTTCTAATCCCCAGGAACCTCTCCTAATCACCATGACTTTTCAGAGATAATCTGGGGTGGCCTTAGGGAGTTGACTTACGTCATTCTAAGCACTGATAGGTGCATCCTGTCAAGTATCACGGACTTATTTATGTCCAGTTTGTTTAAACCTTCCATTACCTGATCCTCCACCACTCAGCGTAAGTCTTCCTTCCTCTAGACCTCCCATTGCTCTCAGGGACACAGGCAAATCATAAGAGCAAAGACAAAGACGAACAAAGCATTGAGCATGTCAACACTTTTCATGTCCTTCGTCACTAAGTCCTCTGCTCCGTTCAGCAGCAAGGCACACGCTTTTCACAGTCTGTCTTTTCACAGTCTGTACCAGTGTACGTCTTTCTTGTTGCCCTTCACGTCTGTCACCAGGTTCAACTTCAGGTGAGCTCTGGCTTTTCTAACCTCATCCTTGTATACCTGGACATTTTATCTCTGTTCCTCCCAGTTCATGTGTTTCTGTTTCCAACTCTTACATGCTTCCTTTCTGAATTTTATCAGGAGCTCCTTGAAGGTCTCCTGCCACATTTGTTCGATTTTCTGCTCATTGGGATGGGATAGACCAGTAAGGCCTTGAAGAAAATGATCCTTCCATGAGGAGGGGTTAAAGGAATGAGACAGGAGGGGAACAAAAAAGATAAAATAAAAAAATCAACCAACTGTCCTCAACTCCTCTTCTCCCAAGGGCTGCATCCCATAACACTCTTCCAAGAAGATCATGAAAGAGGCGAAAATCTGCTCTCACGAATTCCAGAGTTGTGATCCTATTCTTTGCCATGTTCCCTCCTCTCAGGACTTGAGCATTACCATCTCATCCTCACTACAACTAAGGATGTCACTGACCTTCACACCCCAAACAGTTCTTGCTTGTTGGTAAGTAACCAGGTCCAGCACAATGTCTCCTACCATCAGCTCTTCAATGATCTGTGTTAGGAAGTGATCACCACTGTGCTCCAGAAACTTCCTGGATCATTTGTGCCCTACTGCCTTACCTCTTCAGGAGGTATCAAGGTGGTTAAAGTCTCCTCCAAGGACCACAGCCTGTGAATGTGATGTAGTTGTCTAAAGGCTTCAACTACTAATTCTTTCTGATCTGGCAGTCTGCAGCAGATACTCACTAGAACATTTTGCTCTGCCTCCTAACCCTAACTCAAACTCAGCTGGCTTATCTGTCCCAAGGCAGAGTTCCATGCATTCCCTCTGCTCTCTCATGAAAAGGGCAGCTCTATCTCATCACCTTTCTGGCCCATCCCTCCTAAAGATTCTTGATCCATTCGTTGCAGCACTCCAGTCATGTAAGCCGTCCTACCACAGCTCTGATTCCTTAGCCCTGTAACTGCATGCTGGCTTCCAGTTTCTCCTGTTTCGTGTCAATGCCTCATGCGTTATTTTGCAGGCATTTCAGAGAGGCCTCCCCACCTCGCTGACTTCCCAGGAAGAGAGTAAGGGCTTTTCTCCCCACAACACTGTCCTGTAAGCAATCTCTTATTTATGTTGAAACAGAGGTGACCCAGCTTTAGCCCTACTGTACTGACTGTTTATGTGAACGAGAGGAACCCTACCAAAACCCTTTGCTTTCCAGCCCAGTCTACAACTTCCTCACTTGATTGTTGACCATCTTTTCCCCTCCCTTGTAGCTTTCAGTTTAAAGGTCTCCTCACCAGGTTGGCCAGTCCTTGATGCCCAGTCTCACAGGGACAGAAACCAAACTAAAATTGTTTCAGACATTTGTCACACAACCAGTTGTTGATCTACACTCCTCCTCAAGCCCTTCCTTTCTCCCTGGCAGAATCAAAAGGAGTATCACCTGTGCCCTCACGGCTTCCAGCATCAGCATAGAAGTCTCCATTTTTCAAGCCCAATAAGACTGTCTGCCCCTCCTTCCGTCCATCTGGGGTCTCAGGCTCCTTGACTTGGTACCACAGATCCTCAGCAGCCGCACATCTCCTGCAGGCTAGAAGACCACCTCCTGCTAAGCCCAACTTTAGCAAGAGGTCCCAGGCACTCCCTGAAGCCTGAGACTTCCAGAGCTGCAGATTCTTTCTGAAACTCTATTTGTGTTGGCGCTTCAGTTTTAAAAAATTGTTTTGTACACATTCTGATGGTTTTACAGACATTCCTCTACTTAAACAACAGGTCCCACCTCCCCATCCTCCCATCTCTCTCCCCTGAAGTCCACAGCTAACTGGATATATTGATATTATTGACAAACAGTACTGCTTGGTAATCATGAAAACCACACTGATGTTTTCAGGATGAACACAGTTTTAGACTCCTATTACTGTGTATCACTGACCTATTTTTGGGTTATGACAGAAAAGATGACTCCCTAAGGGGAGTTTTTTGTTTTTTAAACTTCCTGTACATGCCACTACCTTCAGAAGCTTTCCCAAAACCACCAACAAAACTACAAGACAAATTACCATGATTTAGTTACCTCACCTTTCTTTATTTCTCCTCCCATAAGCAGTTGTTCAGTCACTGTTCCAAGATAAGCTAGTTATGTTACAAATCTTTCACTCGAGCAAAGCAGCTCAAACACCAAAAAGGCATCTGATCTGGAAGGTCTTTCAAACAACGGCCATTTTTGTTTTTAAAATACTCTGCTTTTTAAAGAGCTCCTAAAAAGGAGAGCAGTTTCAAATTGGTTTTCTAGGTTGCAGAGACCATGAAAAAATTTAATACTTTTCCCTATTTTATTACATCTACAGCAATAAAGGACTCCATCAAATACAGCTCCTTGATTTTTTTCCCCCCTGTTTAGATCACCTTAAATACTACCTGAACTGCCATCTGCCTGTGTCTTACCCTATTCTGTTCTTTCCTGGAACTTATTGCAGAAGGGTAAGAAAAGATTTAGGAACTGAAGAGTGACATGTCTGACAAAACTGAGTAGAGAGAGAAATCTGACAGTCAGAATATTAGATGCATTCCATGTAGAAAGTTCCAAGCACAAATTTCAGACAAATGAACCCTGAGGGACAGAAGTCAGCTACTACTATGCTCTCTAGATCTCATGTTAATTGAATACCATCAGCATTTGAACTACTTCCTCTGGCCTCCAAGATTGCTACTGTCTCAACTGCAGATAGCGAAGAAATGAGATAATTTTTCTGAAGTTTCTGCCTGATGAACTGAAAGTAATATGCCAAGAAACATGAATATCACTAAGCCCATAAAAATTTCAAATCCTACCACTGTCACAAAAAGCAAAACTTACACTACGGCAGGAAAATCTGGTAAGGGTGCAGCCTCAAACAGTATTCTAAGTCCCACCTGGACTTGATCTCTATGGTCTGATGTTAAGGCAAATGTCAGCGGCATAATCAAACGTTGATCCTAAAAAAGAAACTACTTTGGTCAAAACAAGATAGAACTGTCAACAACGAAGCAGCCCCAAAAAACACCCAGTCACCACAATATTAGGCACAGGAGATGTTTTATCCAAAACTCCATCTACCTTCTTAAAGTTTGTCCCTCTGAGTTTCTGAGCCTGAATTCAACAGAAGTGATTTTAAAAATAGTTTACACTGAGTATTTAGAAACATGTTTTCCCATTAAAGCCAACACAACAGGTAAAGAGACTACTTAAGTCCTTCAAGTTTTCAAGTGCTCCATTTTCATCATAACGGGTCACAAGCTTGAGTTTTATAAGGATTTCCCGAGTACTGTGTAACATTCATTGCTACCCATTAAATTACACAATTTCCATTCTTGAAAGAAAACCCTTCAAAACAGCATGTGTTTGACTGTTTGGGTTACTTTTCCATCTACAAAGTAAATTGTTAAGATACTATCTGACCAACAGTTACCAGAAACTGTTCTGACTATGCAAAGTCACTAATTAGATGTATATATTTAATGGTAACCAACCCCACAAATAATTTTATGTTTGTGATAACTTTCTTCTAGTTTGCCACCTTGAAACTGCAGTCTTAATGCAGTCTTAAAAATCTTACTAGACAGCTAAGTATGATTACACAGGCATTACTGAAATAAATTATTTGAATAAAAGCAAACTTTCTTTTTTTTAGAATTAACAGTGAAATAATGTTTAAGAATTGTGTCCAGCAGACTTTATTTTTCTAGATTTTTTTTCCACTTTAGAGATAAGCACGCAAAACATTCCAAACTAAAACTCCTGTAGTGCAGTGACACTTCCCTTCACAGATATATTTCATAAGAATTCAGAAATCATACCTGTAAAATTTTGTAGAAGCTGACCTCCATACCAGGTACATCCTGCTTCAGTCTGCTCATAAGATCAAGCGTTTTCAAAATTATGTCAGCAGCAAGTTTGCTTTTAAACATACAAACAGAAAAGCAAAGCAGGTGAAAAAAAAAAAAAGACAGAGTGAGAACTGTCAAACCAGATAAATGTATACAGTCTATTAAAAAAATAGTAAATATTTCAGAAAGAAATTAAGTATGTTTAACAAAGCAACAATGCCAACACGAAGAGAGATCACCGAGTTCCTTGGCCATGCTGCTGAGCCTTCTCCAACGTGGCAAGGATGGCAACAGCAAAGATCCAAAACAACACCCTAAGGTTGGAAGTCAGGAGAGTTTAATTGTAGGCCCAATGATATCTCACTGTTTTTTGGCCACGTAACTTAGTTGGTTGCATAAAATCAAAATGAAAAATTAGGTGCCAGGAGCAGTTCTGGTAAGCTTCAGATTGTAAGCTTGAACAACTGTGTAAGGTTTAAGGCCATTGTCCCATGTAAATAGATCTCCAGCTTATGTTGAAAAAAAAAAAAAGTTTAAGCTAGATTTTTCTTATTGACTTGACTTGCAACATTACTTTCCACTGCCACAAAAATACTGTTTGATTTTAAAAAACAGTACTTACTTACATTTAAATGGTACTTTCAACTACATCAGAACAATATCACGACTCATGTACAAGTCTAGCTAAATTAGATTTTAGATTAATTTGTGTGCTCACCATGTTTTAGAGTCCACGACTTTTGTTCCAAATCCAGTATCAATCCCACTATAGGTAAATTGTTGTTCTATTAGAGACGTGCATTGGCTGGCAGTCAGTACCTTCGAAGCATGCATTTTCAGTGCGTCATCTCTACAGAGCAGTAGACTGAGTTAAGAATAAACTTCATATACCCACGCTTAGGCATTGGCAGCAAAAGGCAACATTTTCTAATAAAAGATGAAAAAGTTAATGCAGCAAAACACAAGAGCCTCCAAAAACACTTTTAAAAGCCAACTACTGACCCGCTTAAGTCACACTTAACTGACAAGCCAAGTAAACTTCACTTTTCAATTAAAAAACGCACCTACTTGGAAACAGTCAGCTAAGGGAAACCACAATAAAATGAGTGGCATAAAGAAAGATGATGAATAAAAGGTAGTAAAACAATCAGTCCCCAGTACAAGAGCTAGTTATCTATGAGTGAACTAGCAAAGAGACTTCTTCACAAAACTCAGCTTAGACGCAGGACTATGGACATGGAGTCTTACCGTGAGGGTGGTGAGACACAGACACAAGTTGCCCAGAGCAGTTGTGGATATCTCATCCCTGGAAGTGTTCAAGGCCAGGCTGGATGGGGCTTTGAGCAACCCGGGCCAGTGGGAGGTGTCCCTGCCCATGGCAGGTCCCTTCCAACCCAAACCACTTCTGTAATTCCATGATTCTATGTTCTCCTTTCTGCATGACACTGTGGACACTAAGGTCTCCAAAAGGAGTTAAAATTGTATTGTCCCACATTATTTTTCCTTGCTTCACTGATTTAAATTTGTATTGTATTTGGCTAGGAGCTGCACCTGAAATAGCTAGGCAACAATACTACACCGATCAAGAAGATGGCCACCCAAACTCCTTGCAATTTCATTTTGGTCTCCAAAGTGCTCCCATACAGTGAATAGCCACCACATTTTAAGCTGCACCACTGAATTACAAAAAAAAATTCAAAGTAATTAGAAAGTTACATCAGGTCTTTCAAGATGACAGTCCTAAGTAAAATTAGGGCAGTTACTGTCACAAAAAGCCATTAAAGTGACCCACGATGGAAATTTCTTCCAACATTTTGGATCAGATCATGGTAGAAGAAAAATAAACTAACTGCCAAAAGGCACATAAAAAGGATATTAGTCAGGACATTAACAGTCTTGACCACTCTTTCACACTTTTTCTTCAATAGTAGCTCATCCACAATCTGTTCTGGCATCTGAAGATGATCAAGAAGAACAGGCAGCAACAGATCCACAAAATGTTCAGCTGAGGCACTGTTCCTACTGTTAATAACATCCTGTAATAAAGACATTTTATGTCAATATTTAAAACTGCCAAATAAGGAAGCCAAGCCTACTCTACCCTTCCTCCAACAGCCTGTCTTCTAGTTTTCTCAGCCTCTTGCTATTTCAGGTTTAAGACTGCTGATTAGCATCGTACTGGAGGAGGAAGTAGAACAAAGAGCACAGAAACAGCAGAAAATTCTTCTCTTCTACAAGTCCTAGAAAACAACTCTTTGATAGCTTTGTATCCAATCATGACTTTATGAACCACCCTATCTTCCACTTAACTTTCAATACAGGTATATTTTTAAAATAGAGCATGACTTTAAAAGACAAAGTTGTTTTAACAAGGATGGAAATCTAGAACAGGAAGACTCTTATTTCAGGTCTATTTTTTACATGTTATTTTTCAAGTAAAATGCTAGCAGTTGTTTAAAAATCCATTAAAAATATAGCTGCTAAGAAGCTCTTTAAACCCAGTTGCCAGTCTCGGTACCTCAAAAATCTCTCTGAATAGTTGCAACGCTAGAACTGAACAGTCTTCAGAGCCTTCCAACGGTTGGTTTGACAAGTGCACCAGTGCAACAGATGGTTCAAAAGTCTTTGAGCGAGTCACAAATCTGGTATTTCCAGAGACTGGCAAGCCAGATGGTTCCAGTATTGCCTGCCGCAGGGTATGACGCAGTTCTATCACGGAACAGAAGGCAAGCAACAGCTCCAAGATCTGTGTGAAGCGAAGGAGAGTTCAGATGCTTTTAAATCAAGTACTTACACAGAAATCCTAACTCCCTAAAGAATCTAAAGAGACATGGAAGTTCTATGCAACTCCTTGTAGCACTTTGAAGTTTCCTCAAGAATAGTTTTCACTCCTAAAAGCCAAGTCAGCAGAAGGAACACAGTTCATTAGACTGCTGAAGGCTTGCAACACCATTCAGTGTATTGCTTTCCCTTCTTTTTAAGAAGCATGACTGCTGTCTAGCAATCTAATAAGCAGTTCAAACATGTATACACTCAGAATGAAGAAAGCTATGGAAGGGAAAATATTCTAAGTGAGGAACGGAATATTGCTCCACACATGCACGTGGATATGCGGAGATGAAGAGAAATGCTTTTTGGAAAGCTCCCTGTCAGTACATCTTTCTAAATAAAAGCAATAAACAACAGCAAGAAACAACCACAGAGAAACACTAACATTTGTTATTTACTAGGATGTGAAAGACACTCATAAAAAAACCTCAAGATATTTTCAAATGTATTTAGCTCAAATATTTTCACAACATCTCATATTCTAGCCTTCTAGCAACACATAGCCAATGTTTCATTTATGTAAGGCAGTAGTGAGACAACGCTGAATGCAACAGTTAACCGTGTAACCAAATGTGGCATTAATTTGCTCAACTAATACGAAAGAACTTTTAAGTCTTTAAAACAAGCATCACAGCTTCCTGATTGTCAAAGTCTGAGTAGCATTATTTCAAGTTTCAGCCAGCGAAGTGGGGTATGTTTCTGTTAGATCCCCAAAATTATTATTAGTCAACGCACAAAAGGTGTTTATTTTGGCTTTTTGCCTTTGTCTGTTGCTTGAAACAGACACACATAATCTGGTAAAAAAAAAAAAATCAACCATTACAAATTCAACCTGATAGCTTTTGACCAACTAGAAAATATGAACTTGGTGAGTACTACAGATCACTTAAAGAATCCTGAAGTCAGTGTAGTTCATTACCAGCCCTCGTGTACAAGGAACCAACTTATGACTACAGAAGCAGAACTAGATAAGGAATTGTACCCTCTTAGCTTTAAAGTGAAAAAGTATAAATACCTTAGATGATGAATCAGGATCCCTTCCATGAAGAAGATCTAATACTTGACCAAGGCATGAGGTAAAGTGCTCATATCTACAGCATACACAAGGGAGAAAAAAATAACTAAATTGTAATTTCAACATACTCAGACATTTATACTGAGTGCTGAATGCAAGTACCTTATTCTCCTCCCTAACTCCAAACATTTCAAGCATAGTGATAGTTCTGATAATGTAATTTCTATTTAAAATAGACTAAGCTTTAAACATATTCTAAGAATGAAAGCAAATTCCTTAACACAAGCCAAGATTTTCCAGTTATTTTTACCGGTAGATTTAGATTGAAATTCAACAACTAAGTTCTGCTAGATTAATTTGCATAACCACTAGTCAAGCTCTCCACAGAACTACTCTCTAATGTCAGTAAAATTATTACACCTTCAACCATACTAATCCACTTCAAGATAACAGAGGCCTGCAAAATGCAAGACAGCTACTCATCAAGCTGTCTGACTACCAATACTGTTCAGATGAAGAATTGCTGAACACACTGGTAAACATTCCAGATTTTGATTCACAGTTCTGGGTGGAGTTAGTTACACAAGAACCCTTTAGTCTCTGGTACAGCAGTTAATTAGAACCAATAACATTCAAAAAGCACCTAGGGAAGTTTTTTTCCAGTATTTGTTTCAGAATAGAAAAAGCATACAGCAAAGAAACTCGATAAGACTTAGGAAGGGAAGTCATACCTGGTAAGATAAACTGCAACTTTTGGGTTCTTCAGAAGATCCATGAGTAGATCAACAGAGTATTTTCTCGTTAGAGTACCATCACCATTTACAACAATATTGAATATTAACTGAAATGTCTGATGGATATTTCGAGCATGAAAGAGCTGAAAGGAAGAAGAAAGTTATGTATGGGCACATACATACTTTGCTTTTTAAACTAGCTGGAATTAGAATTTTATTTGGCCACTATTAGTTTTATCTACAACTTAAGATTAGAACAGACTTCAAAGTATCACTTACTTTTTCTCCTACTTCTTCATTTAAAGTAAGGCTTGATAATACTGAAAGTGCAAACACAACCATAGTCAAACTACTATGGGCCAGGAAACTTATTAAGGTACGATAGAAACTCTTCACATTATTCTAGAGCAGAAAGGAGAAACATAGGCATTATAAATTTTATTCTGTTCTATAAAAACACCTCACTTACAGATTGTACATATTTATAAATAAGCCATACAAATAATGAATAATACAAAAAATATTTTAGAATGTCAACAGTTCTCTAGGAAAACTATTTCAGTGTTCTCTGCAATACTGGTGTAGACATCAATGACTAAATTCTCTGCTAAAGTTGTATAAGGAAAAATGAAAAAACACTAAGGAAGAAAAAATCCAGCATTATTTTAAAGAAAAAAGAGAAAGTAATTTTGCTAAAGTCTCTAAGAAAATAACCACTAGAAAGTGACTCACATCCTTTCACTGTTCAGTGATCGGATATGACAATAGCACCTCCTCCTCCCCTTCCTCTCCCCCCAGTAAACACACAGGTTATCGCTGCCATATAGATGAATTTGTATTTCCGAGTTTAAAAAAAAAAAAAGTGACATTTGCGCTGATTTATAGAGGCAGGAACAGCTCAAGTATGGATGTGTATTTCCAGACTGAAAGGCCCTGAACTGACCTCAAGATGAGCATTATTTTATTGATTTATCTTTTAAAAGGAAAGTGTCTTTCTTGGCCAAAGTTAATGCAGCTTACCAAAAGTCCAACTACAGTCTTTATATGTTAACACCATCTACTTTTTCACAAGGAAGAATGCTCAAATTTTAAATTTACCTTTCATTTGCAGAGAACAGTTGCAGAAACCAAATGCATAACACAAACTTGTGCAATAACACAGTGATGTAGAGAAGGAAAGAGAATATCCAGCTTCGTATTTTACAGGTTATTTTCTCCAACATGGGAGAAACAACCACCAACTCTGCAGAACAAGCAGGTCAGGGTTATTACTGCCACAAAAAAGTGCAAAAGAAATACTAAAGTAATTCCACAGAGTCAAGTAACTGCCTTATACCCTCAAAGCCAGAAAATTATTTTACAAAAATAAAATTCTTACCACAGATTTTATCTGAGTTTGAATAGATAAGTTGTGACGACAGAGATTTGCCAGGAGTCCTAAACACGGTATCGTTAGTTCATCTTCAGTGGATTGACTTAAAGAAAAGTCCAGAAGTTTAAACAAAGATGTTTTTATTAAAACAACCCAAATGTAATTACAAGAAATTGTAGGCTTGAGGACTTTTTTACTTTGGTCCGGGTATTTTTGGTTTTGTTTTTCATTTAGACACCATCCCACCAAGTAAAACAAAATTCAGATTGCAATCTCCACACTGTGGGCAGTTTTTAACAGTGTACATTGCAAAAAAAAAAACCTCACAGTATCAGAGATCGGCACTATCAAAGGTCATTTATTGCAGGTGCTTTTAAGAGTCATTAGACCTCTTACAAGGACACTTGCACAAAATTTCTATCGATCTAACAAATGCATGAATTTTCTCCCGACTTTTCTCTTTGTGATCTCCCTGCTCCTAGGGGCAGGGGGGCAGGCTGAGAGGCCAATTAATATTAAATCACCCAAAGTCCCACAATCACCACATCTGACAATCTGTAACAACACAGTTTTCAAAGAAAAAAAATCTTCTAACTCCAGAGCCAAAAATGCCACAGTTCACTGGAGACCAGGTTAGTGCAATCTGCTTAATGACCTTCATAAACTTCAGAAACTTAACGAGGTATTTCCCGTAAGACAACTGAATACACACTTACACGTGATGCATTAGAAATGAAATTAGTTCATCGATGTTGGCACCAGCGCAAAAGACTGGAACGTTGTAGGTTAGCCTCTGCAGCAGCTGAATACTCTGAGGAAATAAAAAGCTACTCACATATGTCTTTCCCATAGCATCCCTCTGAAGCATGTTACAAGTTAGAATGTTAGCTGAAACTGAACCGACAAATAAGATGTCGCAACTAAATTAATTTTCAGACTTTGCAATGTTAACAGAACAATTACAAGAGCTGCTGCAAGCACATTAATGTCCTACCACACCAACATACTTATCAAAAGCCCAAACAGATAAATAAGGCTTTGACAGGAGTTACCTTTTTAGCCCATCCAATTTGCCCCTTTGCCTCGTCAGCAAATTCTCCATTCTGTCAGTGAGAAAGGGGCTTTGTCCTACTGAAAGATCTAGAAGCTTCACCAAAATCCAAACATGGTTCAGCAACCTCTTGCGAAAAGTAGGTTTATAGGAAAACAAGCTTGCTGTACAGACTTCCAACAAATCTAATGGTAGTACAAAGACCTTCATACAGCATTCTTTGGGTACACAACTGAGTTAAGATGAAGTTAATATACTCAAACATGACAAACATCACAGCATACGAAGCATATGAAGTATAACTGGATCTACTTGGTGACTGCAAAACCTCTCCCAGTGACTTGGCAAGTCATCTGGATCCCTAAGCCTTCTGGTACTCCTTTTGTTACGAACATTAGTGATTTCTTGAAATAATTTCAAAACCAGTTTCGTTTTGATTTGTTTGGTTGTTGGGTTTTTTTCATATTTAAATTAGAGCAGGCAAAATGAAAGAGAGAATGTAACAAACTGTGCAGTTAAAATCCTGTCATGCTAGCCTCATATAGCAAATAAAATACACAGCTAAGATCAACTTTCACTCAACACATGCAGATGGAGCTTTTAAAAAGTTATCATATGCATACAGTATAATACATACCATGTGACAGTATGCAAATGTTAAGTATTAGTTCCTGTTACCTGTAATAACACCGGGTCGCTAAGATTAGTAGAATTTCGATGAACCACTCCTGCCAGTACACTGGTCAAATTGTAGGTATCTTGAAGAGCTTCTCTAGTCTCGTTGTCTAAAGCTAAAATTTAAGAATAATTAACAAAAATGCCTTATCCAATAGCAAAAACAACTGTTGAATTAGCTACAGAAGCTAATTTAGCAGAAGCCAAAGTCTTTGACCAGTTTTTCATGTATATTTCACAAATAAATCACAGCTTCTATGTGTTTGCATCTCTACTTTACTTCTGAATTTACAGCTAATTGAAACACTAATACTTTTCCTTAAGATGCTTGGACACTTAGGGAATGGCCTACCTCCTACCTACAAACTTGTAGTTCTCCGAGATCTTGAAAGCTGCACTTGGAAAGCTTTAAAGCTTAAAATCATCATCTTAAGTTTCCTGCTTCATGCAAGTAGACTAAAACCGGTATGTTGACAGGGTTATCCAGCAATAGCTAAAACAAGATCAGCTGAAAGAGGACTAATTCTTAAAATTTTCCAGATGCAGTAAGTTGCAAAAGATAGCTAGGAATCCCAGCAACAAATATAATTTTACAGTTACTGTTTCAAAAACTTAAAAGGAAGCTCAAAGAGGCTAAAAATTCCAAGAATCAGAGAAGATAAAAAAGGAGTCATCACAAAGGACTCAAATCTTCGATAACTATTCATACACAATGAGAAACCAAACACTGAAGGAATAATTTTTGCCTGTATATGCAGCCAACATAAGTAGATTACAGTAAGCACAGAGCTCCCTAGACATTGAAGCCCCACTTCCGTGAGAGAAGGAAAAAAAAATTTAAAAAAAGGATATCTCAAAAAACAAGTAAGAGGTAGCAGAACCTATTTTGTAATTGAGAAACCTAATGAGCCCAGGACCAGGCCATTGGAGACCCCAGACTGCTGCCCAGCAAACACTCCAGCGGGAGAGGTAAATGGAGGTGATGAAAGTTGCTGATGTAACACGGCCTCTCCTTATCTTTGCATCCCCTCGGCAGGCTTCTTCACTTCATTAAAAATGGCAGTCTTTTCAACCTCCAAACGTCAAAGACAAGAGAATAACACCCCACCCTACCCAGGGAGGAAACAAATTCTGACAAGCATGACCATTGTCATCTCACAGTGATGACTTCAAATCTGCTTTCTCGTGGTGATGTAACATCTTATCTGACCTTGTACACACAGTCAGGTGGCTCAGCCAAGCACTCCACTACAATGAAAAACTCTTCATCTTTCCCACCTTACACTTCTTCCAGGAAGTTCATGACCTGTGCCACAGAATCAGCACCTGTCTCATCTTCCCTTTCTCAGACCAAAGACAAAAAGCTCAGGTGTAAACTTACCTAGCTGCGACAGCAAAGTAATCACAGACAAGGTGAGAGATGGATTTATATTAGCATCCTCAAGGAGTTCTACTAGACAACTGAGGCATTCACTTGGCAGAATCTGGTTTGAAGCAAATAATCGTGTAAGCTTCAGTCCAGAGATAACCTGGAGGCGAAGGGAAAAAACACACCCTTAATTACCCAACTGCAACAAAGCCTTGAACACAGAAGTCAAAGCACAGGGTTGTATTAAACAGATTTTGCCCTATTTGACAAACTGAGAATCTAAGTGCCACTCCAATAGGACATTTGTGTTCACATTTACTGCAAAAAAAGCCTTGAAAAAAACTACCTGGTTTTCATTCTTGCGGCTGTGTTCCCTCTATTCTTGGAAAGTACCAAGTTTACATTATGATAATTTATAACATATTGGGGCTTCTTTTGTTTGCCTGCTGACAGCATTTGTGGTAGCAGCATTCTTTTTAACCTCATCACTGTAGCAGAGCAATACTTTGTATTTCTTCATACACTGAACAGAATTAATACCAGGTTACTCTTCCTACCTACGGTTTAGCATAGAGCAAAGGCAGAGTCTGTTTATTCTGAGCAACCAAACAGATTGCTCAACACAACCATTTAGCAATCAGCCTTCAGCTCAGCCCAAGAGCCTGCTTTCTAAAGACGCGGACAGGAACCCACAGCTGCCCCTGGGGGAATGATAAGCAGTAGTAGGTAGTGCTGCTTTGGGAGCACTCTGTGCCTGAGATGGAAACTAAAACCTGAGTTCAGAGAAGCTTAAGACAATCATGAACGTTATATACCTGCTCAATACAAGTAGGGACAAGTTACACTTGAATAATAGAGTAGCATAAGGTTTTTGCATACCCTCCCTGTATACCTCTTTACAATTTGAAGAAAACTAAGCTGAATACTTACATTAATGGTTTAGCAGTTAGAAAGATAAAGCTGTATTAGGAAAAGGTATTAATCTGCTTAGTGGCAGCTTGAACAATTCAGTCAACAGGTCCTGCCCCAGCGTGCCCACAGGGCACAGGGCAGGGAAAGGGACAGGCCTGCCCCTTGGCAGCAGGGATCACCGCAATTGGCAAACTCCAGGTACAGCACCCGCTCACCATTGGAACTCCGTTTTTAAGTTGCTGAGATAAATTTTCCTCGTGGATCAGAATTTAGGGAATACGAGAGGGAAAAAAAAAGTGCTGTACGGTTAGTCTATGTGCATATAAACACACTGTGCACATCTAGAAATACACAGAGACACCGTGAAACGTAGTAGTAAAGGACATACGGATAGCGTGGGGATATTGCTAAAAATGGAGACGTTTCTCCCGTCCCTCGGACTCCACCTCGCCTGGCAACCGGTCACCGGGAGAGCTCCCCCGCCTCAGCCCGGCAGGTTTGGAGCTGGGGCTGCGGCCGCCCAGGCCGGCACCGGCAGAGAGGATGCAGCTGAGGCCGGGCTTCCAGAAGAGCCACCCGCAGCCCCAACAAGCCCGAGGGGACACCACGGCCCCCTACGCAGTCCTGGGCAGCGCCGCCCCGCTCTCACGGCGCCTGGGG